CGATGCAGGCCGCGGTAGATTGAGTCCCCAAACGTCATTCCAGGCGCGTCCTTCGAGATCAGATCCAGGAAATTTCGGGGGCCCCCGCGGAGAAAACCAGATGGCGCGCGGCAGAGATTTTCCCATTGCCCAGAGTCGCGAAACATTCCGAGGACACCAGCCGGGGTCCAGGGACAGGTTCCAACGTGCTGACGGGATATGACTTGAGAAATCGCTGGGTTCAACATCAGGTTTCCAACGAGCTGAAACGATCCCGACCACGCTTGCTGACTGCCTGTCCCCCCCGCGCCTGGCGCGGTGGTTTTGACAGTGAGCTCCAATGGCGCCAACGTGGCCGAGCGCATGCACCACGCGCGCCAAGCGCGCGCGTGCGTGCGGTGCAGCGCGCAGGAGATGCGCGCTCAGCTCGACCGAGGCGACGACGCGATCTTCGAGCACCCTAATCGGTCGATTGCGTGGAAGATGCCTGACCTGAAACGATTCACGATGTGCATGATAGAGGTCCGCACGGATGCGAGACGCATGTTTTGCGAGAGCGGGGCGGGGCGCGTTTCACGCGGGGGCGCGAAGAGCGCGCGCTGGAAACTTCGCCGCAATTGGCAAAGTGCGCTGGCCAGATGTGAGGGCCACGAGCACGCGACGATCAAGGGGAAATCCAACCGCGCGTCTCTCGGGCAGAGTGGGGCTGGAATCTACGCCAAAGATTTCCGCGAAACGATTATCCGAGGCACCGACGATCGCGCGCAGTTCTGGGCAGCGCGCGGGGATCTGCCTCTGAGCTTCCAGGAAGATCTTGACTCGTTGCCGCCGGAGTCTTGGTTCGCGCGCGCCCGCCGAGCGAGCGAAGCTGCAGATGCTGGGAGCCCAGCTGCTGCATCGCTGCCTCGCCGCAGGTCTGGGGGGCAGCGCGGCCGGACGACGTGCCAGAGTCAGCGCAGACGCCCCATCCGATGGCAAATGCCTATACACCCGAAGCTCTATCAAGAAGCTGCATATCGACCTGGGAACTGGGACATGCGGCCCCTCGAAAGACGCTGCGAATCCTGCGGCGCGGAGGTGGGCGCGACGAGGCGATCCGACAAGCGCGAAGTTTCCCGCGCGATATCTGCTACGAATGCAGAATGCCGCAACCGCCGGGGGCTGCTTCGGGTCACCGTATTCTGGAATTCAGCAAACAGCTGGGGATGGACGGCGTGAATATTGCAGCCTGGAAGGTTCCCAAACGCACGGCCCCCGCTCTTAATGTGGCGGGCGATGCGTCATCTTCTCAGTTGGAGGCCCCCCTACTTCAGCGGGGAACCTCTGCCACTATCAGAGGCGGTCACCGACAGAACTGGAAGCGCTGGGCCGGCCGGGCCGAACGCATTCGAGTTGGCGCGGGGAATGCTAACATCGGAGCAGCGTTGACTGACCATCTAGGGCTAGAAGAGACGGAGATTGCGCCAGTAGCTGGGGAGAGGCAGCGGCAGAACGAACAGACGGAAGCACGCGGGGGATGGCGGACATATTTTCAAGCGTCTGTTGGAGACAGCCCAGCCAACAGATTATCAAGAGTGGGCTGGGTGCGTCGGTGCCGCGACTGATGCCGAGCAGAGAATGCTGCGTGTGGTTGGCTGCTCGCCTTGCCCGCGTGTGCTCGGTCAGGAACCGCGTCTGCCTGTGGATCTGTCGCAGGATTCGGCAGGTGCGGTCAGCGCGTCGGGCCCCTTGCACGAGCGCGCGAGATGCAGCGCCAGGCTATGCAGGCGCAGCCGCAAGCTCGGGGCGACCAAGACTGGCGTCGCGCCGCGGCGGCCCGGGGCCGAGCCACGCGCCCTTTCCTGCCCGGGGACAAGGTAGCGAGCTGGGGCAAGAAGGGGCGCGCTAGGTGGCGCGGGCGGGGGATCTCGATCGGGCAACAATGAAGGAATTGGCGGTCATCACATCAGGGGCCTCATATTCGGGCCGACCCGCTTCAGTTGACCTGCGACGACGAGCGATGCTCGAGCGGACCAATTTGTGGAGCAAGTGCTGCAGGATGAACGCCAGCGTTTGAGCACTGTCGGCGGACGCTTGCGTTTTCTGGATTAGACGAAGCAAGAATTGCCCCCCCCCCCACCCCCCCCTGCTTCCAGGTGCTCAAACCCCCCACCCTCTACAGAGGAGACCTCCAAGGTGCCCCGGGATAACACCAGCGACCGGCAGGAACCCATGTCTTCGGAAGCAGGACTTCATGCGGCACCAGGACCAGCAATACCCCAAGAGCCTCGTCAGCCTCCAGGGGGCCCACGGCCTCCGGCTCCAGCTCCGACGACAGCTCCGACGACAGCGCGTCCTCTCCAACGGCACTCGACGACGCGACGATGGGCCAGGTATCCAACCCAGCACAGCAGGCCACCAGAGAAACCCGCATTGGAGAAGACCCCGCACAACCAGAAATGAATGACGATAACGAAGCCCTCTTTCCAGTTACCTCAGGGGGCGATGCGGCGATCGGAACTGCGCCGTTTCTCTGGGCATTTTCCCGGGGGCCTCCGCCAGCTCAGGAGCGCGCTGTTCTGTTCGCTCAGGCTGAGCCGGCTGACGTGGCCACTCTTGCAGCCGGGGCAATCGAGCACGCGGGGCGCATGGAATCAACCAGTGCCTCCGCGCGCAGGATGCCTCTTACTGCGCTGTCGGCGGGAGCTATTTCCAGGCGCGGCCGGAAGGGGCTCAATTTAAGGAACGCTTCCCCCGAGCTAGTTCGGGAGACCGAGGGGCGAGGGCTGAGGGCCCTGGAGGTTGACAACCTGGTCCAGAAAGGACGCATGAGGGCGATCAAGGGGCCCGAGGGGAAGGGGATTCAGGAGAGATGGAGCCACAGGTTCATCCCAGGACGGTTCGTGATGACCGAGAAAGAGGAAGAAGATTTCGAAACTAGGGCCAAGGCCCGCTTGCGTTTGCGAGGGCACCTGGACCCCGACCTCCCCGAGCTCACTCAGGAGGGCAAGCTCCAGAGTCCGACGATTGCACCCTTTGGTCGTGCGCTGTGTCTGCAGATGGTGGCGGCCACCATCTGCAGACACAGCGCACGACCATGCAGTGGGACATGCAGTAAGGCGACGCGCACCATGCGCCTCCTGATGCCAAGAGCAGCAAACGACGCGAGCCCACGTTTACAACGCTGCCAGACGGGGCACCCGGACACACTGATGAAGAGATTTTGGAGGTTACCGGGCATCTCTACTGGAAAACGATGCCCCCTTCGAATGGTTCCAGGAGTTCGACAGTTGCTTGCGACACCTTGGTCCTGCTCCAGTCGCTTTGACGCTTGCCTGTATATCCTTCGAGGCCGAGGGGTACTCATCGGGGCGCTTGCGCGCCATGTGGACGACAGTATCACTGGCGGCTGCGGCGCGCTGTATGATGACGCGACCCGACGGTTGAAGGAACGATTCGTTTTCGGAAATGGCAGATACATCGGGGGGAGTTTTGCGGGGCGGGCTACGTTCAGGATCCGACGGCCCAAATCGCCCGGGGAAATCAGTCAAAGCTCGCGGAGAAAATGCGCCCTTCGCTCGACGTCTATTACGAACCCCGTCAGCCCCAGCCACCGAGGCCGAAATTGCCCATGGGCGATCGTGTTTCGGAGATGGCGGATGGGCGCGCAAAGAGACGTGCGCAGACTTATTTGGCCAAGTATCTTCGGGACAAGGCTGCTTACCGCGACCCACCGTAGGCGAGTCCATGCAAGGTACGCCGGGCCTAGCAGCATGCCGATCTTGCGATATCATACTTGCACGGGACGAGCTGACAATGATCGGTCACCTCGACGCAGCGTGGGGAAATGTCGAGAACACTGGCACCCAGGCGGGCTATGTGCTGGCGTTTACTTCCACGGCAACGCACCGTGGACAGGAAACTCCGTGGGCACCTTCAATTGGCGTTCTTTCAGACTGAAGCGACTTGCTCTCAGTACTGTGTCAGGCGAGGCCCAGGCAGTTTCCGCGCGTTGCGTCGCCGTGGGATGGATGTCGCTTAGTCTTTACGAGGCACTAGACGGGCCGGTCGACCTGAGAAACCTCGACGCCTGCATGTGCCTTTGGAAGCCCATCATAGTCACATATTGTAATTCTTTCTATGACACTGTACAGGCCAACGCGTCTCCAGCTAGCTTGGAAGACAAACGCTGTGCGATCGATGTGGTTGTGATAAAACACTCGGTCATGCGTTGCCAGACCAGCTGTAGGTGGTGCCCTACTAATCGACAGTTGGCGGATGCGTTGGCCCAGGACAAAGGGGACCCGGCGGACCTCCTGAGGGCTTGCATGAGAGCCAACTACTACCGGCTAGCCGATGAACGGCATGCTTTAGAGTCGACAGCCAAGGAGAGAAGAACAGGAGGTGACGGGGTGCACGATGGAATGAATAACCTACTAGGATCTAGGGGGGTCTTCGATTGTGACAGCAGTGCGCGAAGTCATTTGTGTCACTGTAATTATACACTATAGACTCTACGTCGCCACCATACTGTATACTATCCATGCGTGCGTGTGTGACGACAACGACTTACATGTTGTATGTTGTGTGCGCCGACTCTACGGATCAAGCGTATGCCATTCCTTACCATTTTGTGTGAAGGACCCAGGCTAACGGTCCAACTCAGCCCGACATGGTCAAGACTGAACCACCATCGGCCGCCGTTGCCGGCCAAGAGTTCCGTGAGCGCCCACAGCAGGCGCGGCCCATAGTCAAGGGAGAGGAGTCCGAGGCAGCTGTGACCAGGTTCGGAAAGCACACAGACAAAGCCTTTGATGATGGTGATGCTGATGCTGATGATGATGATGCTGCTTATGGTGATGATGGTGGTGATGCTGATGATGCTGATGATGATAATGATGATGATGATGATGATGATGATGATGATGATGATGATGATGATGATGATGATGATGATGATGATGATGATGATGTGGAACGTTGATCGCCCGTACTGCAGATGGTGCCTGTCTTATCTGTCCCCGACGAGCGGAGTTTCTCAGGCCTCCTGGTTCGACTACCTGTCCAAGCGTGTCACGGAGCTCGTGGAGGCAGTCGACTCGCTCGAGAACCGCAGGTCTCGGATCGAGGCTTCCGACCAGTTAGACCTCGACCCCCGTGTTGAGAGCGCTGAAGATCAGGCCCGTTCAGCTCACAGCGGGGGTCCAGACGATCGGGCGTAGTCCGTCGGCGGTTTGCACCCCTCTAGTGTGAGAGCGGCCACCGTGTCGTGACTCCTCGCAGGCACTGTTGGAAGTTTGAGAGGCTGGAGAGGATTGTTTTTGTCAGTATGAGCCTCGGACAAAGGCTTGCCTCGCACGCCTGCCACCGCAGCCGCTTGTGGCTCAAAGGACGTTCCGCGAGCGCAGGGTGCCGGACAAACCTGTCATCATTCCGAGGCTTGGGAGGCCATGGCTTATGCAGAGGAGGAGGGAGAGAAGAGGGGAGGAAGAGGAGAAGGAGGAGAGGGAGGCAGAGGAAGAAGAGGGGCGGGACCCTGCCACGAGGGCGTCGTGCCGATGTGACGTCCAGAGAGCGGGCACCATGGCCCCTGCCCTTGCCGAGCTCCGGGCTCTAGCCTCCAGAACCTGGGACCCCAACGACTGGACTTGGGCCAGCGTGAGGGAGAGGAAGAGACCCAGACCTCCGACGGCGTGATTCTTTCACAATGTCGACCCCCATGGTCTGGACCCCTTCCCCGGGACCAGTTTTTCATCCTGAATCGTTTTTCACGGTCCTGAGGGCCGGGAAGGGCCCCCGCAGGCCGAAAATAGCGAAACAAATCCCGTCGTGTTTTTTTTCCACTGCGCGAGGAGGTCTGGGGAGGGAGGGAGATAAAGGAGGAGGACGGGGAGGACAGGGAAAAGGGGCGGAGTAGGAGGAGGTTTTTTGTATGCGTTGTGGCCGCCTGCCGCGCGTCGAGGTCAAGCACTGGAAGGGCCAGCGCGACGTGGCCGAGCGGGAGCCGCCGCCGCGCCTGCCCGACCCCCCCGGGGATTTTGCAGCAGGGTTCGCTGCATCCTCGTTCTGCGCCGCCGTGCTCCTCCTCCCTCCTTCCCCTCCTCCTCCTCCTCCTCCTCCTCCTCCTCGTCCTCCTCCTCCTCCTCCTCCTCCTCCTCCTCCACGCCCTCTTCCCTCCACTGCCTCCTCTTCATCCGCCTCGTCATCCAAGAGAACCCCAAGACAATCCAAGAGGCGCCCAAGAAGGCCCTCGTCGAGCGAGCGCAAGAGATCTCCAAGAGGGCCCAGAGACGGCCGAGGCTCCCCAAGAGGACCCAGGAGGGACCCCAGACGGCCCAAGAGGGCCCCCGACCAGTCCACGAAGGACCCGAACCGGCCCCCGGGAAACTTCCCCAGAAACCGCCCAGACACATGCAAAAGGCCTCTGGCTGGCCAGCCACAACTGGGGGAGCTGTGGTCCTTATCCCCATGGGGCACCCATCGATTTCGACACCCCTCTCGAGAGATCGTCGATGCGATGGGTTCCCCCAGGGGGGTGAGGACCACAGCTCCCCCAGTTATGGCTGGTCGGTCTGGCCCGCCGCCTCGGCCACTTGCTCGGAGGCCCCTGGGCCCCGCCCCTGGCGGCCCCCGCTTCAGAAGCGCGCCGCAGCGCCGCCGCGAAGCAGCCGAGGAGCTCCTATTGTTGAGTCGGGCGTGTCCCTCTACAGGAGGAAAGTTCAAAAATAGCCAAAAAATAGGTAGGGGACGATTTTGTGACTATTTTTGACCATGGGGGGGTATTTTTTCACTACTTTTGATTATTCGTCCAAAGTCCCCCTGTAGGAGGACAGGCCCGACTCAATTTTATTGCCCCAGATGATTCAGAGAGTGCAAGGAAGTCCCGAAACGAGCCAACCTCTCTTGAACGCGGTTTTGCGACAGCCCTCGAACGGACCAAACCTGTCCCAAGACTCCCACTTGAAGGACTTCACACCCAGACTCGCAGCACTGGCCCCAAACAGCCCAAGCGGCCCTCATCGGACTCCGTGAAACCTCCCTCACGACCCCAGAAGCTTTCAAACATCAGAGATCCCGCCGATAGAGTGCGGGGCTGCTGGGCCCAAGGGCCCCCGAGACGCTTCCACGACGCCCCCAAGCGGCTCCCAGAGGTCCAGAAGAGGCCCCCAGAGGCTTCCCAAATTGCCCCGAGAAATTAAACAGGTTTCAAACAATCTATGGAACATCGCAAATGATTGAAGAACTCGCCGGTTCATGGCCGATGGGCTTCGGAGGCCGATGTGCCAAACACCGGGAAGGGCCCACGAGGAGCCCCAGACGCGCCCTGAGAGCGGCCCGAGAAGGGGAACGTGAAAGGAGAACCCCAGGTTTTCGCTCCAAGAGCCCCCCAGGTGGCCCCAGGAGGCCCCCAAAACGCTGCGAGAGGCTCCCAAGAAACCGCCAAGACGGCCCGGGAGGGCCCCAACTGCGGCCCAGGATCGGGAACATGAGCCGAGAACCCGAGATCTTCGCCCCAGGAAACCCCCAGGAGGCCTCACGAGGCCCCCAAGAAGCCCAAAAGAGGCCCAAAAGAGGCCCCACAGAAGCCCCGAGGGCATTTGAAATAATGGAATTCCAACATTGATTATTGTTGTTTCATGTTCGCCTGGCAGATTGGCTACGCTCCAAGAATATATCACATGTCCTCCTCCTCCTCCTCTTCCTCCTCCTGTTCCTCCTCCTCTGCGCCCTCCTCCTCCTCCTCCTCCTCCTTCTTCTCCTCATCTTCCTCCTTCTCCCCCAGGGAGCCCGTCACCTCCGCTGTTCCTCCCTCTCCCTCGGGCCACGTCCAGCCGCGGCAAAGGGAAGGGCCTTTGCAGTGCCTCTTGAGCTTGTCTTGGGCCGCCGTGGGTGGACCGTAGGGAGTCTTGGAAGCCACTTGGGCCGTCTTCGTGGTTCTTGGAAGCCCCTTGAGGAGAAGCATTATAGAATACAGGTCCCCAAGAGTTCGACCATCCAACCCAGCTAGAACTTGAGCTCGCGCGAAGCGCACGGGATGGTTCCAAGATGTGTTTATAGATAGTGTAAATATACGAGAGTAATTTTATACACATATACGTATACGTGCATATATGTATATATATATATATATATATAGATATATATATATATATATATATATATGCATACATACATACATACATACATACATACATACATACATACATATGGGGTTCACCTTCAAGCCGGGGAGAGCTCCGAAGGGGGATAGTCACCAAGCTCGGGAAGGGCACGGGCAAGAAGGAGAAGGAGAAAACGAACTGAATGTGCAGATTGAGGATGAGAGCTCCATGGGGCTTGCAGGTTTTTTCGACTAAGATGTGGATGCCGAATTCGGTCTTGCATGGATCCCGAACGTGCTCTTTTTACTTGTACCTGAAATGGTTTCCTCTTGGATGTCTTGTATTGTGTGATTTGAGTCTAGAGGCCTGTGGTTTTCAAGGCCGATGCCCCTGCTGGACTCCCTGAGCTTGAAGGTCACGAGCATGGGTCGTAACCATTTTGGCTCAAGACCCAACTTCTACTCATTCCTCATCACTCATACCATATCCACCCTGCCCCTCTTCCTTTCCCATACCGTTCCGTGCCTTGTTTGTACAGCGTTGGGAGCTGTGTACTGAGAAGAGAGTGCGAGGGTTCTCTTGCTTGAGGAAGGATCCGACACTTTGGCTTCACTGCTGTCGTCCGTCGGGCGACAGTGGTAGCGGAGCAATGAGCAGCTGTGAGTCCGCGGACCAATGACGGCAGCAGCGGAGCAAGGTGCTAATCGAGAGACGCAGCGAGAAGAACGAGGGGAGCATTCTGCAGTACGGGCAGTGAGTGACACACTGATGAGGCATGACGGTCTCAACCTCGACCAAGATGAGGCAGAGAAGTTGGCACGTCTTTTACTACTGTACGTGGTGCCGGCCAGTTCCCAGAGTCACCAGCGTGACCCACATGGGGACGACGACGACAGTGGACGTCGGCGCGGTCACGGGCAGAGCTCAAGTGCTCCGTGGTCAAGCGCCGAGGATCGCTCGTGGTCAGGCTGGCATGCACCACCGCCAGAGCACGAGTCGACGAGTGCCGGGACATGGTCCGGTGGCGGCGCGGCCGCGTCCGCCACCGAGACGTCCCAGGGCAGGTCGGAGCAGTGGCATTCGGGTGGCTGGGACGCGACGAGAAGCACATGGCAGGAGCTGGACCACAAGCCTGGCGAGCAGCAGTGGGTTTCTTCGCGATCCACCTGGACTCCGGCTTCGACCTGGGAGAGCTACGGGGACAGGCCTTGGAAAGACGAGCATCGGGGCGACTGGTCATCCGGATGGAGATGGAACGACAGCTACAAGGACAGCAAGTGGGAGCCCAATAAGCGCCACTCCGGACATGATGACGACCGCTCCAGCACGAACACCGGCAAGGACTTCGCCGACCCCGAGATATGGAGAGGCTGGGGGGACTACCGCATGTGGCGCCGCACGGTGCTGCGCTGGAGAACACTGACGGACGTTCCCTCCCACAAGCAGGCTGATCGCCTCTTCCGCTCTCTTGATCAAGACCTTCAACGGAAGCTCGAGGACCTCGATGACGACACGCTATGCAGCTCATGGGGTTTCGACGCCATTATCAAACGCCTTGACTTGATGTCTGGTGAAAGACACGGCGACGAGCGACGGAAGGTCGCTCGAGAGTGCTTACTGGATTATTCACGCAAGCAGGGAGAGAATCTCACCGAATATCGTGCACGTGTGGACACGGCCTTCGACAGGGTAGCTACTCAGGGGCTGCCGCTTCCAGACGAGTGGAAACTGATGTTCCTGGAGGAAGGAGTTTCTCTCGACGAGCGCTCGGCGCAGATGGTCAAGGTGCTCATGAGGGACCAGAAGGACTACAAGTCGGCTCTCCCGGCTATTCGGGAGATGGACATCCCCCATCGAGAGCACCTCAAAGCGCGGAGGACCTACGCCACTATGGGCTCGGAAGCACCTCTACCTCAGGTGCCTGCCTATCAGGTCGAGCGCGACGACGAGTCCTTGCTCGACTATTCGGATGTCTCCTCCATGGACTCAGACGGGGAAGCAGAGGTCTGGGCGATCCTGGAGTCGGCCGACGTCGGGGAGGACGACGCGCCTGCAGCGCTGGCCGCCATTAGCCAGGAGCGCCGCAAGACATGGAGGCAGAACCGCGACTTGAATAGACAGCTGAAGACCGACCGGAAGTTCTACGACAGGCCAGGGCCGTGGCAGTGATGGGCGCGAGAAGGCTCGCAGGCCCGGCCACAGGGCAGCAGGCGGCGCGTTCAGAGCGCGGAAGAGCCGCCTTCCGCTTGCTGAATTAATTAAGCGCACGAGATGCCGTGTCTGTCATCAGAAGGGACACTGGTCTCGAGAGTGCCCACAGAAGCAGGGCGCAGGGGCCAAGGACGAAAAGGGGTCCCCTGCCACGGGCATGACTTTCCTGTACGTGAATGCTTTAGATCACTCCACCTCCCAGTGCTTTGACGAGCCTCCTCCTCCAACCTACGCAGTTGCCCTGCTCGCCGTAGGCCCTGGGGCCATGGTGGTCGACACCGCGGCCGGTCAGGGCCCCGTAGGAGAGCAAGCCTTGCAGAAGATCGAGGGGCACTGGGCCTCAAAGGGGTTCGCCGTCCCAAGGGCCCCACCCAGGAACCCAAGCGCGCGCGGAGTAGGTGGGGGGGGTAAAGGTCACCCACGCCGCTCTGATCCCTGTAGGTATTGAGGGTAGCATGGGGGTGCTGGAGCCGGACGTTCTGGGCCAGGACGTTCCACCCCTTTTGCCGATAGGATGTCAAGAAATGCCAGGTGGGGTTGTAGATCTTCCGAACAAAGCTGTGACTTTTACGAAGTTGGGGGTCACGACGCCTCTGACTAGGCTCCCGTCGGCCCACCGCGCCATGCAGGTGGGCAAGTTTTCGGTCCCCGCCAAAGACTTTAAAGCTCCAGCCTCCGTGTTTAGGTCGCGCCCTCAGCTGCCGAAGGATGCGTTTCAAGC